GTGTGCGACCAGTCAGTCAATGGAGGTAAGGACCGGGAACGCATGCCTACAAACCAGTAACATGGTATACTTGCTGAAACAACACTGTTTGCTCATAAGATCTCAATTGGTTCGCTCAGATTATTCAATTTGTCCCACCACAACTTCTTGTTTAAGTAGGAAATATCAACACAGGAATGAAACCATAGAAGTCTTTAAGGATTAAAAGATGGACAAGCCAATAAATCATCTCTTCTTTTGTTGATTTTAGATGCTGGAGACGATGAGGAAGAGGAGGTAAGTTCTGAAGAGCATAGAGCATAGAAGAATAGCTTGAATAACTGCAAGTTGAAAGAAATAAATGGTAAAATCAACAACATTTTTGCCATTGTCTTCATATAGTAACTGAATTATTGTTTTGCATTTCAGCTGCAAAACTTTGTCAAACTCTCCATTGGTAAGATTTCGAAGTGGATGTTGTTTAGAATAAATTACTATTGATAATCTATACATACAGTAATTATTTTTTGCATGGTGCTTGACAGACACTTCCAGCTACCCAGCATATCCTCCTAGAGTTGACGTTCTGTTCACCTCTTCTATTGCTGACGGCTATAATCCCACCCACCATAACCCTCCAATGAACCTCTTAGGAGAAGTTGTCCATAATAACCCCAGTGGAGGTGCTTCTATGACCTCTCACCTCTCCCAGCCCAGCACTGGACCTTTGGCTGGTTCTTTGACTGAATTTCCCAGTCACAGTGCTATCAAAGTTGAGCAGACACCATATCCCGTTCATGGCGGGGGACTTCCGAACGGTGTGGGAATGGGGACTGGAGTCATACCGCCTCCTGGTCTTCAAGATGTAGTCACTCATTCTGTAGGCCCTCCAGCCATAGTGGACAGCCCAATGCAAGAGGTGCCATCTCAAGCGGAGAACCAGGTTCATCCCTGCATCTCAGAGTTGCTGAGCAGTCCGCACATGTTACCCTGTAAGCCTCTAATGCCTTGTTCTTCTGGATTAATGTTGCAGTTTATGATGAAGACATACCTAAATTGCAGAAAAAAACCTAGTCCCACAGCGTTCACTTTGAGTAATGCTGATGTTAAATGACTTTGCAAGAGGTGTGTATAGAGCCACTACAAACATATATAATGCACACCTTAACTGTATTATGAAATTATGAAAATTTCAGTTGTTAGACTGGTAATCTGTTATTAAAGAAAAAGTTGAGGTCTGTCATCATTCACTCTTTTGTAACTCCATAGACCACAAAAGGAGAACGTTAGGCTGGATGTTAATGCTTCTCTTTTCCATACAATGAAAGTAAATGGTGACCAAAACTCCCCAAAAAACCTTCAAAGTTATAAAAAAAAAAGCACCATAAAATTATCACAAGATTTGTCCAAATGACTTGTGCACTGAATTTCAAGTCTTAAGAAATCATATAATAGAATTAAAATGTCATTTATGCTATTTGAATATGCGCTTTTGCAAATTCGACACATCATGCTCCGTTACAAGAACCATTGATATTTGACATAATTGACATCTGCCATAATTGATGTCAAAACTAGCCTAACATATCTTGATACACCAGATACAAAAAGGTGAGTGGAATTTGAGAGCTGTCGAGAACATTTTCAGTGATCAATATAAATGTATATTTGTTTCTCACACAAACTTATTGTATAACTACATAAGTCTTGTATGGGCCACTTTTATAATGACTTGGGTAATTTTATATCACTTTATCACCATTCACTTTCATTGCTTGGAAAATAGAAGCATCGACATTGTACTAAACATCTCTTTTTGAAACGACCAAGAAACAATGGTGAGTAAATGACAATAAAATGTTCCTTGTTTTCTCTTCTCTAGTGACTGATCTGGATATCAAGTTCCAGTACAGGGGTCGGACAGCTGGTTCATTGACCGTCAGTAACCCTCAGGGTTGTAGACTTTACTACGGTAACCTGGCGCCCACACCAGAGCAAGTAGAGCTGTTCGGTCCAGTTACACTGCAGCAGGTGCTGTTCCCAGGAACTGCTGAGATCCAGAACGAGAAGCAGAGGTTCTATACCGATCATCTGCTGGATGTGATGGACCGAGGGCTGATTTTGGAGATCAGGGGACAAGATATCTATGCCATCAGGCTGTGCCAGTGTAAAGTGTTCTGGTCTGGGCCAGGTGTGCCCGAGCAGGGTCCGCCCAATCCAATGGAAAGAGAAATGAAGATCAGGGTCTTCAGTCTGAACAACTTCCTTCAGTGTAAGAGGAATCAGTCTTGAATTTCAATAATTACAATCTAATTTATTGTGACTGCATTAGAGCACTGACAAACAATTGAGCACATATGAGACTGGATTGGGATTCATAACTGACAACCCCTGGATTTTCTTTGAGTCTCAAGTTTCTGAGTTTGGAAGAATGGTTTTATTTACACGTTTATGCATTTTATGTACTGTTAATGAAGAACAGCTTTAAAACTTGACAGAAATGTAACTGATTTATGAGGTGACAAAACGTTCACATCCATTCTCTATGGCAGCGCAACAATGTTAAAATACATAGACCACCAATTAAGCACCCTTTGCTCTTTATTTTGTTCCGTTGATTCTACAGAAGCTTCCTGTCTTTTCTGGGAAGTGAAAAAGAGAAAATACAAAATTGCCCAACACATCCATTTTATTATGTGTATATATAAAAAACACTTCCAAACTCACACGCAGGAATTTTCTCAAGAGACTTCAAATGTGCATATGACCGGCTAGGATCATTTTGTAGATTTGCTATGTAAAAGATTCAGTCTAACAAAATGGCTATTTTGTTTTTTTCTTCTCAGGTCTCATTTTGTATCAGAAAGGAGAGACGCCCACTCCACCACCCTTTGAGATCTACTTCTGCTTCGGTGAGGACTGGCCAGACAGGAAGCCCAAGGAGAAAAAGCTCATCATTGTCCAGGTTTGGAGATGAAATCCATGTTAATTGGTTTACTTTAGAGTGCAAAGACTCTATTTAGTTGTTTATGGTAGACAAGGCTGTGCTACATCACTAAATCAAGTTGTTAGCAAAGACTCACAATGTTAAATTCACAACAACTAGGTGAACTGGTGTCATGTCAGATATGTTATTAGTGTCTTTGAGCAATTCGGCATCCAGAACCTGAGCTGTTTTGTGATGTAGCATTCTTTAAACCTAGCAAACCATACCATAATGCGTTGTTAGCAATGATGCACAAGCAATAACTAGGTGAACAGGTGTTTGCCATTATAGCTGTTACTATTTAGTGCATTTTAGCCAATCAGCATCCAGAACCAGAGCTATTTTTTTTATTTAACATTCTTCACAACTAGCAAATCATGCTATATTGCTAAATTCCATTGTTAGCGACAATGCAGTTATAACCAGGCGAATGGATGTTTGATGTCAAATATATTACTGTATAGTGTATTATAGCCAATCAGTACCCAGAAACAGTTTCATAATGTAATGTTCGTCAAAGCTAACAAAACCATGCTAAATTGCGTTGTTAGCACCGATGCATAGATATAATTAGGCAAACAGGTGTTTAGTGTCGAATGTTACTACTATATAGTGTTTTTTTAACCAATCAGCATCCAGAACCAGAGCTAGATTTTATATATAGCAAACCATGTGCAGCATTGTATTCACAATATATTTGCTATAACTAGGTGCGCAAACTTTTTTCAAGTCACAGCTGTTATTATATAATGTATATTAGGACCATTCTTATATTAGCATTCTTTACCATATTGATAAATTGTGTTTATGGAACATGCAGAATTGTGTTCTCAATATAGCACAACTATAACTAGATGAACAGATGTTGTATTTTAGCCAATAAGCATCCAGAACTAAACTTATTTCAAAATTTAACGATTTTCAAACCTAGCATAGATTGCTTTAGCAAAATAAACTTGGTTTAATAATAAACAGCATCTGCTAAATCTACTAAAACCTGCCATTTTTTTTTTCTTTATCTAGGTTGTTCCAGTTGTTGCAAGAATCCTTACCGAGATGTTTTCAGGCGAGCTTTCGTGGTCGACAGACAGCATTCGGTTGCAGATCTCCAACCCTGACTTAAAAGACCAAACGGTGGAGCAGTTCAAAGAGCTCCACAGACTTTTGCAGAGTCAAAACACGCACCACACCTGGGCTCAAAACATCCACTAACTGAATTTTCCTTCAACGCCATCTTGCTAATTGCCTGCTCAGAATTGGAGGTCCTTTTGAACACTGGAATATATAGGTGCCCTCTCTGATGCCATACTGAAAACATTTCCATTGGAGACCAAACTTGACGTTTCTTTCCCACATATTTTTTTTTGTCTTCATGTAAACTTGTCTTTTAAAATGTTATATTTCAATAAATACCATTGCAGTATTTTAAATGGTTGCTGGCATGATCAGGTTACCACAGTATGATTCATCCCATGAATGTTTGAGCAACGTTAGTACAACTCTGACCCTGAAATAAGCTGTCAGATTTAAGACTCGTATTTCATGCAAGTCCTTTACAAACATTACGAGAGCAGGTGGATAATATCTGCTGACCTCATCCTATAGGGTCCGTGCCAGTAACACGAACCTGTTGAACTTGAACGGATATGACTACTGACTTAACCACGCAACGTTCATTCAGCAAATCGGACGCGGGAGGGGTGACCTGAGGGTTTACACGTGCAATTGTGAGAAACACATGATTGTAGGGCCTTCGAAAATCTCAGACAATAGAGGAGGGTTCGATTTACTCTATGACTCAGAAAACCAGACCTAAAGGACCCATGTAAGTTTCTTAAAATGAAACCTGGTCAAACAGGTTCTGAGAGCTGCAGAAAGAGAATATGTCACTTCTCAAACACACGAGTGCATCTGAAATGATACTCGAGACAAAGCTTAGTTTGTTCCTCACAATGTTGGTTTTATTTGTTCACACAATCGGCCGAAGACGATCTCGGGAGATGTGCCAATATGGTGAAAGAACAAAAAAAAAAAAAAAAGCCCCTGCCAGTCAGTCCACTCCATAATTTACAGCATAACCTGTACGGATAAAATCCCAGCCAACTTTTAAAAAGATCAAGGGTGATGCCAACTCTCCCTTTGCAAATGTCCCACAGGCGCAGACTGCTGCTGCTGTGACAATTTTTAGTTTGGTAATCATTTTATGGCACTGGCAGCAAAGCCATAACTTGATCTCTAAACACACGTCCATGAAAATAAATCTCCATTTTTGTTTTTAAAAACGTACAAGTCTCTCTTTTTTAACGATGCATTATGATTTGCAACCAGGCACATCCTCATTTGTCGTTGGTTTTTGATGGACCCCCAGAAATCCGACCGATGCAGACGTTCATCCATGTTTTGAAATGGGTGTATGTATTTCAGTGTCCATTCGACGGCCCCCCTCCCACAAGACGACGGTGTCCCTTCCGAAATATCCCCCCCTTCTCTCGCTGTGGCTGGCATCTGTGTGCTCGTCGGGGTAAAAGGGAGGGATGGGGCTGCGGTCATTTGACACCCACAAGGCAATTTGCTTTTCCTGAAACCCTGCCATTCCAAAGCTCCAATTCAATTGGTCGGCTTTCCCATTTTGCCAAGTCCCACAGATCCTTCATGCAAGAGTTCCCTTTAGTTTCTCAACAGTGGTCATCATGGCTCCCTTTGCCACTTCCTCCAAATGTTAGCAAAACAAAAAAATCTGACCTGCAGAGGACGAGAGAGAGAACGTTTTATAATGCTGAATTTATTCAAAATATTTATATTCCAACATGTTTGACCATGAATTTCCAGTCATTTGTGACTTAAAAAAAAAGAGATGTTTTCTGACAACATCTAAGTTAATGTAAACTTAATCTGCTTATGACAATTACATTTTTCACAAAATCGTGATTCAGCACGGGTAAAAAATGTGGGGGAAAAAAAGCCTGGATTTGACTTGAGAGGGAAAAAAATAATTCTTGTATAATGCTTTTTCTTTTTTTATCAGCATTTTGTAAGCACTCCAGCTCCAGAAATTATAATAAAATAATAACTTTTATATTTATTATATATTTATATTACTACATTTTGTTATATATTATAATATTTTATAATAAAAAACTCAATATTTAAAAGAAATAAAACTTTAAATCTTTACTATATTAAGATTCTGTAATACAATATTTATATAATAATTATTACATATATAATATAGTTCCATTTAAAATAAATTAACAAATGTATTACAACAAATATAAAAGCAAAAAATACAATATTTAAATTAATTACTTTGATTATATGAATTAATAATTACATTAAATAAATTGAAATCTTAAATCTTTAACATTATTTTAATATATCAATAGTATATATTAATATATTGCAATATATATTACATCTTACATATGTAATATAAAGTAATATATAGTATAACGTTCATTTTAAAATGATTTAAGAACACCGATTAAGACAAATATAAAGAAAGCAAAAAATGCATTTTAAATTAATTCATCTGAGTATTTGAATTAAAATAATTTCATTATTAAATAAACTTCATTCACTGAGGATTAAGTTTCCATGTTATGCACAATAACATTACAAATGTAGTGTTCAATATGCTTGTGTTACCTGGTCTTGCAGCATCAGCAGGTAAAAGACAGCTATCGGTACAGCCTGGTGAACTCTCTTATCGCCCAACAAACCTGTTTACATTCCTCTGCACTGGGGTGACAGATTGATAGATAGGAGAAACAGAGAGAGCAAATAAGCATCACTCTTCAACTAATAAACAAGAAGCTGCTCCATTACTAATCACAGGTCAATTTACAAACACGCCGAAAGCATGGGCGAGCAACACATCGATGCTGCATCAATCAGTCTGGCATGGTTTGGACTTTCCATGCAAGCCTGGGACTCATTCTGCATTGTCAGAATATGTATCTGCCATCTGTGCACGACACCACGCTGGGAGGCTCCTCGTTCCTCAGGTCAAGACTTGCTGAAGTATGAGATACTTCACCCTCTTGGACGACTGGTTATGGGAACTTGTTTATGCATGCCGTGCTGAGCTAACCACAAGGAGAACTAAACATGCACCAACTTGCAATACCTCAACGACGGTGTCCCTTCCGAAATATCCCCCCCTTCTCTCGCTGTGGCTGGCATCTGTGTGCTCGTCGGGGTAAAAGGGAGGGATGGGGCTGCGGTCATTTGACACCCACAAGGCAATTTGCTTTTCCTGAAACCCTGCCATTCCAAAGCTCCAATTCAATTGGTCGGCTTTCCCATTTTGCCAAGTCCCACAGATCCTTCATGCAAGAGTTCCCTTTAGTTTCTCAACAGTGGTCATCATGGCTCCCTTTGCCACTTCCTCCAAATGTTAGCAAAACAAAAAAATCTGACCTGCAGAGGACGAGAGAGAGAACGTTTTATAATGCTGAATTTATTCAAAATATTTATATTCCAACATGTTTGACCATGAATTTCCAGTCATTTGTGACTTAAAAAAAAAGAGATGTTTTCTGACAACATCTAAGTTAATGTAAACTTAATCTGCTTATGACAATTACATTTTTCACAAAATCGTGATTCAGCACGGGTAAAAAATGTGGGGGAAAAAAAGCCTGGATTTGACTTGAGAGGGAAAAAAATAATTCTTGTATAATGCTTTTTCTTTTTTTATCAGCATTTTGTAAGCACTCCAGCTCCAGAAATTATAATAAAATAACTTTTATATTTATTATATATTTATATTACTACATTTTGTTATATATTATAATATTTTATAATAAAAAACTCAATATTTAAAAGAAATAAAACTTTAAATCTTTACTATATTAAGATTCTGTAATACAATATTTATATAATAATTATTACATATATAATATAGTTCCATTTAAAATAAATTAACAAATGTATTACAACAAATATAAAAGCAAAAAATACAATATTTAAATTAATTACTTTGATTATATGAATTAATAATTACATTAAATAAATTGAAATCTTAAATCTTTAACATTATTTTAATATATCAATAGTATATATTAATATATTGCAATATATATTACATCTTACATATGTAATATAAAGTAATATATAGTACAATGTTCATTTTAAAATGATTTAAGAACACCGATTAAGACAAATATAAAGAAAGCAAAAAATGCATTTTAAATGAATTCATCTGAGTATTTGAATTAAAATAATTTCATTATTAAATAAACTTCATTCACGGATAAGAAATGTCAGAATGGAAGCTTAAATGGGTTCATATGGATAAAATAATATAATAAAATTAGAAAAAAAATATGAACTTGATAAAAAATAAAATATTTTATTTTATTTTTATAGTATTCATTTCTTATTTATTCTCATCTCATTATTATATTATTTTATCCCCAATTGTTGGGGTGTTGTAAGAAAAACATGGATACATTTTAAATTGGATGGGAAAAAAGGTTATCTTAATAAAAAAAATATTAAAATACCTCATATCTGTAAAATGTCTATATGTATTCTTCAAATGCAAGCAAATTTTACATAAGAGTCTGCCCCTCTACAATGCGAATAAATCACTTGCATATACATCTAAATTCTAATGCTAGGTGACTACATAATGTCTATTGTTAGCCATTGGTTAATAATTGTTAGATTTCAATGGGCTAGTGTTTGGGTTAAAGGTGAAGAAGTAGTTTTCGTAAAAAGCTGTACGAAGAGTGACACGTAAAAAAAAAAAAAAAAGAACAAGCCGAATGTGAGCACTGTGTTCATGCGCTGCCGCTCTCAGCGCCATCAAAATAAAAGTCCCGCCTCGAACGAATCGGCCAAACAGAAAAACTTATCGGCCAATGCCGATATTTGAAAAATGCCAAATATCGGCCGATATATTGGCCTTGGCGATATATCAGTCGACCACTAGTCTTAATGCATGTTATTTTTGTGTGGCAAGTCACTTATTTGGAGCTTGTTTTTCTAAACACTATTGCAGAAGCACAGAACTGGTACCTTGTGACGAGTCGAAAAAGATCGTCCACTGTGTCGGGGTGATTGCGCAGTCCATTAGGCTGCTCTAACAGCTGGAAGGTCGGCATACAGAGAGCCTGTAAGAGGGAAAGATGCAGCTACTGATCAATAACTCTTAGTTCCTCATTAATATTAATAATTCATTGCAGTACAAGATTAAAATGAAATCACTTTTTATGAGAACAGCCTTTCAAAAATCTAGTTAAAAAAAAAAAATTCTGTATTAATGTTGGCTTCATAACATTGGTTTTAAAAAACTTTTATACCATTTTCAAGTTTAATATAAACTGTCATTTTAAATTTACCAATCTTTGCCACTATCCTTCAAACCACTAGGTTTACCCATTTATCAGTAAGCAGTTATTAATAATTTAAAATCATAATTTAGTCATCTTTAATACATTCTAACAAGTCAGAATGTCATTTCATTTTTCATTTTTACATAAATATATCTGTAACGCTGAATGATGATGGAATGTTATTTTAACATTTTATTTTCACAAGTTATTTGAAACATGAAAACACATTTAACTGGCATTTAATATGCTTATTTATTTATTTATATATATATATATAAAACACTTGATGCAGACACCAAAATGAGACGTCTCATCTACATACAAATCTTTTTTAAAAAATCGCCAAAAAATTGGCGGCTACAATGTGGACTAAATGTAGTTTGAAGTCTAGCTACATAAGACTACGGTACAAACTGAAGTATTTTGGTGTGTATTAGGTTACCTGTAGCATATCCAACAGGCCTTGTCTGCATCCTTCCTCCATGCCATACTCATCCACTAGAATGCTGCCTAGGTACAGGAAACAGGAGTGGGGGTACACCTGGTACACACTCACCATCTGAAACACAAATACATCTTTTTGAGATCCACACTGGCTTTTCCATTTCAGTGGACGTGTATTTTTAAGGCACAAAGACAAACCTGAGTAACAAGTGGCTGTAATAAGGACGCAGAGCCTTTGCCTACGCAACGCACTGCAAATCTCAAGCAGCGGCAGCAGCGCTCCACTATCCGGTTATCATTCTGGTGGGCGTTCAACGTCTCCGACAACACCGGCCAGATCTACAACAAAGAACAGAGATGATCAGAAAGAAACATTTACAGACAAAGTACTGCGTCATTCAACACACAGCTAAACATACCTCTTGAATGACTTTCTGGCAGGGGTGTGTCTGTCCATTCTCTACTATGGGGTTTGTGTGTCTAATAGAAAAAAGTAACCATTTTAGAATATTTTCTAAAAAAACAGCAAGGACTGAAACAGCACAACACATTTACCTTCTTTAATGTGACATTTTTCTGAGTGAAAATGAATGTTTAATGGGATATAATGGGGGTGGAACTCCATGCTATTTAACGATCTTTTTTCAATAGCATGCTCAACTTTGAGCAATAAATTATGAACTTAAGACAATATGGTGTAGAATTCAGATGAAATGTTAATGTCTTTTGTTATTTATTCTTAGTAATTTTCACAAACATTTCAAAACTTTAAACAATAATTTTCAAAGAGGACAAATTCTACAGCCATTAAAAAAAGGGTGTTTTTTCTAACCACTATGCCAACTTCTATGGCTATTTTCATGGCAAAAACCATAAATAATAAGTTAAAAAAATTACATAATAATAATAAATTATTAAAAACAAAAAACAATAATAAATGACCAAACAAAATAAATAAAACAAAAATTAAACAAATTAAAAAAAAAATAATTACCAAACAAAATACATTTTTCAAAATCTATAAATTATCAAACTATTCTAACTACTAAAACCTTCCCAGAAATTACTTTAAAATCCTTTTCAAGAGTGTAAGTTGAAAAAAAAAAAAACCTCGGTTTTCTCAAGGGACTAGAAATATTCACAGCCCAATAAATTGCCAAGTCCAATATTGTGCTTAAAGGGCAATGGTGGTGGTGATGTTGAGAGTCTAACCTGAAGATAACAGCCAGTCTGTCCAGCCACACAGTGGGGTCTGATAACTTCCCACTACTGGAGTCCTGAGCCAGGAGCTGGACACAAAGACAACACATTACTTTATTGCATTAACCAAAGACAGTGAGAAATACAGACCACACAGTCACGAGTATCTAACCTTCCTCAGTGCCATGACCTGAACCGCACACAGATCATTCAGACACTCCGCGATCTTCTCCAGGGGGAGGCGGGCCAACACCAGCGCTGTGCCTGAGACAAACCAACCACACCACTTAAACAAAACCAGCCATACAACAAGGGCATGACTATGATAAACAGAAAAGAGTCGACCTCTACAGGAGAAGCATGTAAAGAACTAAATCAAAGCTTAAAGGGTTAGTTCACCCAAAAATGAAAATTAGGCCGTTTTACTCACCCCCGAGGCATCCTAGGTGTATTTGACTTTCTTCTTTCAGACGAATCCAGT